GGTCACGATGGGTCACGGCGGGTCACAGCGATCACGATGGCGGGTCACGATGGGTCACGATGGGCCGTAGTGGGTCACGGCGGGTCACCGCGGATCACGATGGGTCACGGCGGGTCACGGCGAGTCAAGGACGGTCGCTGCGGCTCCCAGTGTCTCGGTGGGTGGCCGTGGCGGGTGCGGTCCCAGTGGCGCTGCGAGCCGCCAGCTGCTCCTGCCCTCGGCTGCCCGCCGGGCCGCTGTGTGTGCGGGAACCCACAAGTGCGGGGCAAGGGTCTGAAGCCTCAGCCTGTTCCCATATATTGATTTAGAAAAGAATTAGAAATATAGACACGTAGTTATTCCTTTATACAATCACATATAATCTTATAGTTACTTATAATCGTAAAGATATATACTCAGTATAACCTTTAATTTTACTAACGACCATCGGGTCATGAGGCATGGAACCGAGGTGACACTGTGAATAAAGTGACCCTAAGGCAAGCTGCCCTAAGCCCTCTGTGACGCCCGCGTAAGGGCTGCTGGAGGGCGCCTCGGCTGTGCGGCAGCGCCAGCGCTGGGAAAGCCCCGCTGTTTAGCCAGCGAGGGGAGGAGATGTCCAAGATGGCCAAGACGTCTCCTTCCTGGGGAAGTTCGGAGAAAACTCCGCTTCTCCACGCTCTTGTGGCAAGGCCTGACGGCTGTCAGGGACACCCGCAGACCTCCTGGGGCTCAACTGTCTCTATGTGATGCTGTGCTTCAGTGGTCACCTTCCATGTCTATTCTCACGCCCTGCTTCCGCACCTGGTTTCTTGTTTTCTTGAAAGAAAGGATTAATAATAGTGACAATCTTAGTATCCTTGATACTTCGGACAAGTATGCGAAGAGCGCTGACCCATTAGGTTTTCTCTTTGCCTGTGCTACTTGAAAGTCCTGGGCCCCGTATCTTCAAGACACGTTTACCTGAGGCTATCACTGACCACCATTACTTCACCCGACCTTCCCTGCCCACTGCTTTGTACTCAATAAAAGTCAGAGTGTCCAGGCACTTTGGTTGGCCGTGGACCCCTGAGGCCAAACTCTCTTTTCTCTATCTGTGTCTGTGTCTTTTTGTTTTTTTTTTTTTTTGAGACGGAGTTTCACTCATGTTACCCAGGCTGGAGTGCAATGGCTCGATCTCGGCTCACCGCAACCTCCGCCTCCTGGGTTCAGGCAATTCTCCTGCCTCAGCCTCCCGAGTAGCTGGGATTACAGGCACGCGCCACCATGCCCAGCTAACTACTTTTTGTAGTTTTAGTAGAGACGGGGTTTCACCATGTTGACCAGGATGGTCTCGATCTCTTGACCTCGTGATCCACCCGCCTCGGCCTCCCAAAGTGCTGGGATTACAGGTGTGAGCCACCGCACCCGGCCTGTGTCTTTTATTTCTACAGTTTCTCGTCTCTGCGCCAGCAGAGAGGGGCTGAACCTTATACGGCTGGACCCTAACCCCTGCTGCTCAGAGCCCAGTCCTCCTGCGTGGGGCGGGAAGGGGTGGCAGCCCAGATCTGCCTTCTGGAGGCCCTGGTCATCTGTCGAAATGCAAGCATTTAAAAGCAGTCACGGCCAGGCGCAGTGGCTCACGCCTGTAATCCCAGCACTTTGGGAGACTGAGGCGGGTGGATCATTTGAGGTCAGGAGTTTGAGAACAGCCTCCCAACATGGCGAAAACCCATCTCTACTAAAAATATAAAACTAGTCACGTGTGGTGGCAGGTGCCTGTAATCCCCAAAACTCAGGAGGCTGAGGCAGAAGAATCGCTTGAACCCGGGAGGCAGAGGTTGCAGTAAGCCGAGATTGCACCACTGCACTCCAGCCTGGGTGACAGAGCAAGACTCTGCCTTAAATAAATAAATGCAATCACTCAGGCTGACAAGGGTCAGGGAAATGTGCTCCGCCCCTACACTTTAACATCATGCTATAAAAGGATGTTTCATGATAACGTTTAAAAACATCCTTAAAGTGATGGCTCTTGTCTGACCGTAAGTCAGCAAAACATTATCGACGACGGGCCGGGTGCAGTGGCTCACGCCTGTAATCCCAGCACTTTGGGAGGCCAAGGCAGGCGGATCACGAGGTCAGGCGATCAAGACCATCCTGGCTAACACGGTGAAACCCTGTCTCTACTAAAAATACAAAAAATTAGCGTGGCGTGGTGGCAGGTGCCTGTAGTCCCAGCTACTTGGGAGGCTGAGGCAGGAGAATCGCTTGAACCCAGGAGCCAAGGCTGCAGTGAGCTGAGATTGTGCCACTGCACTCCAGTCTGAGTGACAGAGCAAGACTCCATCTCAAAATAAAAAATAGCATGCAGTTCATATCAAATAGTTGTGGCAGTGAAAATTCAAAATTAACTTCGTTTCCCATGAAAGACAATTGGATCTTCATCTGGGTCTCTCATATTATTTCCCTTCTCTCTCAGATTCTCAAATCCTGTCTGCATTGTATCTGATTACTTTAACAACATTTAGTCATGTTTCCTATCCTTCGTCCAAGCAGGGAAGGATTCAAGGTCAAAATGGGTCCATATTTCTTCAAGATGTGCCATCTTTGGGCTAACTTAAGAAATATTGGGCTGGGGGCAGTGGCTCATGCCTACACTCCCAGCACCTTTGGGAGGCCGAGACGGGAGGATCCCTTGAGCCCAGGAGTTTGAGGCTGTAGTGAGCTGTGATTGCGCCACTGCACTGAGCCTGCGGACAGAGTGAGAACTTGTCTCTTAACAAAAAGAAGACAAGATATTAATAGCAAAAGAAAAAAGAGAATACACCAAGAAAAAAAAAAGATATTAATAGCATTTGTGATTCTCAATTGTTTTAAGCCGCAGTCCCCAACCTTTTTGGCACCGGGGACGAGTTTCGTGGAAGACGATTTTTCTGTGGATTGGGGTGGGGGTGGTTTCAGGATCCCCGACTGCACAGTTGACAATGGGATTGGTGTTCCGATGAGCAGCTGGTGCCACCATTGATACAAGAGGAGGCAGAGCTCACGCTGAAATGCTCACTCACCTGCTACGTGGCCTGGTTCCTATCAGGCCATGGACTGGGACTGGTCCACAGCCTGGGGGTTGGGGACCCCTCTTTTTTTTTTTTTTCTGAGACGGAGTTTCGCTCTTGTTACCCAGGCTGGAGTGCAATGGCACGATCTCGGCTCACCACAACCTCCATCTCCTGGGTTCAGGCAATTCTCCTGCCTCAACCTCCTGAGTAGCTGGGATTACAGGCACGCGCCACCATGCCCAGCTAATTTTTTGTAGTTTTAGTAGAGACGGGGTTTCACCATGTTGACCAGGATGGTCTCGATCTCTTGACCTCATGATCCATCCGCCTCGGCCTCCCAAAGTGCTGGGATTACAGGCTTGAGCCACCGCGCCCGGCCGGGACCCCTCTTTTAAAACAGTGGATCAGGCTGGTAGCTCATGCCTGTAATCACAGTGCTTTGTGAGGCTTATCCTTTGAGGCCAGGAGTTTGAGACAAGCCTGGCCAACATAGTGAGACCCCATCTCTAGAAAAAATAAAAAATTAGCCAGAGGCCAGGTGTGGTGGCTCACACCTATAATCCCAGCACTTTGAGAGGCTGAGGTGGCAGATCACCTGAGGTCAGGAGTTCCAGACAGCCTGGCCAACATGGTGAAACCCCATCTCTACTAAAAATACAAAAATTAGCCAGGCATGGTGGGAGGCACCTGTAATCCCAGCTACTTGGGAGGCTGAGGAATGAGAATTGCTTGAACCTGGGAGGCAGAGGTTTCAGTGGGCCGAGATTGTGCCACTGTATTCCAGCCTGGGCAATGCAGTGGGACTCTGTTTCAAAAAAGAAAAAAAATTAGCTGGCTGTGGTGGTGCATGTGGGTGGTCCCAGCTACCTGGGAGGCTGAGGTAGGAGGATCCTTTGAGCCCAGGAGGTCGAGGCTGCAGTGAGCTATGATTGCACCACTGCACTCCAGCCTGGATGACAGAGTGAGCCCCTGTCCCAAAACAAACAAAAAAACCCAATCAGCCCGGCATGGTGGCTCACGCCTGCAATCCCAGCCCTTTGGGAAGCCAAGGTGGGTGGGTCACCTGAGGTCAGGAGTTCAAGACCAGCCTGACCAACATGGTGAAACCCCGTCTCCACTAAAAATACAAAAATTAGCTGGGTGTGGTGGCATGCACCTGTAATCCCAGCTACTTGGGAGGCTAAGGTGGAAGTTGCAGCGAGCTGAGATCTCGCCATGGCACTCCAGCCTAAACTACAAGAGCAAAACTCCATCTCAAAAAAAAAAA